TAATTAACTTATGTGAGATTACAACCTCATATTTCACAGGATGGTGACCTCCTTGTTACAGCAGCGTGTTCAGGATACATCTGCACTCTAACTGCAAAAGCTCACCAGGAGTCACAGAATCACATATTTGCAGGGGTTGGAAGGGACCTCAAGAGATCATTGACTCCAGTCCTCCAGTAAAGCAGGTACCCTACAATAGGTCACACAGATTGGCATCCAGATGGGTCATGAATATCTCTGTAGAAGGAGACTCCACAACCTCTCTGGTTAACCTGTTCTGGGGCTCTGCCACCTTTACTATATGGAAGTTCTTCTGCATGCTACTACAGAAGTTCCTGTGTTCAAGTTTTAGGCCATTACTCTTTGTCCTATTGCTACACACCACCAAGAAGAGCTTGGCCTCATCCGTTTACCTCCCACCTCCCTTTAGATAAACATTTATCAGATCTTCTCTGTCATCTCTTTTGTAGGCTGAACAGATCCAGGTTCCTCAGCCTTTCCTCACACAGGAGGTGCTCCAGGCCCGTAAGCATTTTTGTGACCCTCTGCTGGACTCCTTCTAGGAAATCCCTGTTGTCTTTGAACTGGGGAGCCAAAAACTGGGCACAGTAAATGATTTTATGGTTTTTGTTCTCCTGTGGTAACTGGTACAGATAGTGCAATGCAGAAGGATTTTATTCCCCAAAGACTGAACTGGAATGAAAGACTTCATGCTAAAACTCTGTGTGCTAAGAGGCCTGTGTTTTCTTAGGGAGAACTAGTTACTTTACTGCCCACTACCATTAAGCTTCTGGGTACTAAATCCTATATTCCATGATGCGGGGTTTCAATGCAGAGCGACCTTAGCCTTATACCCAATATTCTACAAACTTTCTTTTTCAGTAATAGGATATTCAGTAATAGGATCTTTTTCGGTGATAGGAATTCAGTAATAGGAAATTCAATAATTTGAAAATTACTAACTTGGACCTGGCAAAAAAAAAAAAAAAAAAAATTAACTCCCATTATCACAAAAATAAAGCAAACCAAAGGGGAAAATATGCATGGTATAGCACTGTGTGTTTTAGCACCTCTTGTCTTTAGCTCTAAAAGGCACATTTTGTATTTCAAATTGCTGGTGCTTAAGATAGATATTTTTATTGAGATTACGTATTCTTAACAGTGCTAAAATGCTTTAGCACATGACAGTCTTAAATCCTGAATGTACTACCATGTAAAAAGCTGTTATGACTATATTCACAGGAAAGCTCATTTTTGCACATGTAACTTGCCATGTGCTCTCTTCATGGCTACTCCACATCTCCCTTTTGCTTAATAAAAATCAGTGAGAGAAAGATAAGAATTTAAGAATATATATAAGAAGTATAGGATTTTAAGAATGATGTGCTTCAAATCTTGTTTTAATTAAAGTAGATTTATTGAAATAAGTGCAACTTTCAGGCAAAAGAGTAAGGAATTCCTGTTTATAACTTGGTTAGGAATATGCAAGACTTGTACCATTCCTTTAATTTCCAATCCTGATGCTCTACTGTTCCTTTTCTGGTAACTTTTCATTCTAGTCTTTCAAATTCAACACAGAGATAAATATACAGCAACTGTGTGTTACAGTCTAAGAAGAAAAATAATGATGATGCTAGCCATTGCATGGATACTTAAATGAATGGCTGTTAAGAGAGAGCCTGATGTTTTTGTTCTATTATGTTCTACTGTCTCTGCCTGCAATTACAGTTGTGAGATCAGGGTGTGCATTGTCTATGTGGCACGTTAGGGCACTTCTCTTACCTTTGAATATTTTTACCTCGTGAACAAATGAATTTGTCATGCATATCACTAACTGTCATGAGTAAACCCTCAGTTTGTTGGACAACATCTCTACCTGCAAAAAGTTAATCTCCACTGAGTGTTTCTGAGTTTGATTTCAGACTTGCTAGATTTATTTTTTTAATAGGAGGGGAGGTTGTTTCTTACAGTAAATACTGAAGAATAAAAATCTTGCTGAAATGTAAGGTAGCCTGAAATTCTTTAAATTT